ATTTATAAATTTATCATTATTATATGTAGTGAAAAAGGGATCAATCAATCGAGGTAATTTAATAACTAACTTACCAGCGGACTCATTTCCAAGTATCAAATACAATTTATCCTTTGGGTCTTTTTCTTCTGAATTAACCAAAAATGATAAAGTATCAATATAATTTAAAATCATTTTAAAATTTTTTTTTTCGTGGTGTGACAATCCATTGCAAATTATGGGAAAATATAAAATCAAAAATTTTCCATTTCTGATCATTTAATAATATCATTAAATGATTACTCAAAGTATCGATATTCATTTTATTTCTTGCGAGAATGTTCTTTCTACTTGAGCATTGGAAAGAGGTACAACCAGTTCTATTGTTGGACAATTAAAAGAAAAAACTTCCACAATCGAATAAAGACAAATTCCATGAAATTCATTAACATTCACAAATTTACAAACTTGGTTTCACCTCCAAATTTATCCAGAAACTTTCTCATTTGTTCCATGTATGATTAAAATCTTATTATCATTTAAAAAGTTATTTGTCATGGTATCCCTGATCAAAGAGAACTTGAAGATGGTGATATTGTAAATTTGGATGTGTCATTATATTATAATGGATTTCATGCCGATTTAAACGAAACCTATCCTGTTGGAACTATTGATCAAGAAAGCCAAAAACTTATTAAAACTGCCAGAGAGTGTTTATACAAAGCAATTGAATGCGGTAATCTATCTCGTACATTCACACCAGACATGTATATTTGTTGTATTAATTTTTTTTTTATAATGCAATGATTGAATGCTCATTTTTTGTATAGTGAAACCTAATTTTCCATATCGTGACCTTGGAGCTGTAATAGAAAAAACCGCCAAAGCAAACAATTGCTCAGTAGTTAAGACTTATAGTGGTCATGGCATTCACAGGTTAGATTTCTGTTTATATTATATATTTCTAACTGTTAAAATCAAATTATAATGTATATTTTAAACTATTTATTAGATTATTCCATTGTGCGCCCAGCGTTCCACATTATACAAGTAAAAAAATATTTTTGATCTTGTTTAGAGAGTATATAATAAATATATTATTAATAAATTTTTTTATTTTTTAGAAAATAAGGCTGTTGGTAAAATGAAACCTGGTCATGTTTTCACTATTGAACCAATGATAAATTTGGGTATTTATATATTATAAAATCTTTAAACAACGTATTCTAATTATCACTTAAAAATATCACTTTACGTTATATATTATAGGAACATTTAGAGATCATCATTGGAATGATAAATGGACAGCAGTCACAGAAGATGGCAAACGTAGCGCACAATTTGAACATACTTTGTTAGTAACAGAAACTGGAGTGGAAATATTGACTGCTGGTAAAAATGAAATGCTGTAATAATAGCGATAAAGTTTTATTTAATACAATCAAATTCATTATTATTATGAGTTCTTAATATTACAGTCATCAAATAGATCATTATAAACTTTTATATCACTATTCTCATTGTCCTTTTTTTACATATCTTCAATTCCATGTTCATTCCCGAGCTCTTTTTGTCTGATAGATTTGGTAATATCTGCAGTTATTATTTATGAATTATTTATACAATCCTATAAAACAAAAATAAAAAAATAATTAGTAATAATATATATACAGTATATTATTATATTAAAAAACGAATATGTCCAGCGTGGTATTAATGTCGATCAATGCTTTTAACCAATAAAAATTTGCACAAATCAATTATTATACCAAAGGAAAATGAAATTTAAACACGACTATTTATCCAATATTGAAATTCAAAAGACAAACAGGCGTGATTATTTGACAGCAGAACAACATTTATTTAGCACGCGAGGTATATTTATTTATGTAGCGTAAAACAACAAAAACGCGTCATGTTCGAGCAGTAATTATTAATTATTTAAGCATAAACCAATCAATTATGTCGCGAGGAACAATTTTTATTTAATGTAAAGTATTGGCCATCGCACTGGTTTATATTTTTTAAAGATGAAACTAAAAACACAAAGATTTACTTTATATATAACGAATTTTAAAATCCAATTGGTTGTGTCTGGAATATATTTGACAGTAGAGGTTTGTTTTTTAAAA